TGTGGTACAGGTACACTCAGGTGTGGTATAGATACACTCAGGTGTGCAGTACAGGTACACTCAGATGTGTGGCACCAACCCTCGCAGTGAGAGCCAAGGGTTTGGTCAGTGGAGGCTCAGTTTGGGAGATGGTGGTCAGTGGGGGACTTGGGCGGCCAGTCGGGGCTGTGGTGTCTTGCAGGGGTGGGTACATGGCTATGCTTCTTGAAGGCCCAAAAGGCTGGTGGGCTTAAGAGGTTGGGGGGTCCACTGGGAAGCCCAGGCTACTTGACGGGCTGGGAGCAAACCTTCCTGAGTCCCAGCCCTGCCCAGGCTGCCTACGCAGAGCATGCAAAAACATAAGGACGCACTCCCTTGGACAGGCTGCAAGCACATGGATGCCTGCACAGGGAGCCAAATGCAGCCGCAAGAGCTCTCAGTCGGCCACACGGGGGCAGTCACACCATGGAGGGACACCTGCCCTGGGTGCCTCATCCAGAGCATGACCCCAAGGACACAGCAGTATGGAATTAACAGAAGCAAGAGAGAAACCAGAGCAGGTGGGGCTTACAGCCTGAGGGCAACAACAACTGGAAAGTTGCGAGCAAAGATTGACTTGGGTAGCTTTTCATTTATTACTTTGCTCAGGCTGTGCCCCAGGTCCACTTAGACCCAGGTTTTTGGGATGGGGCAGGCCAGAGCACCTCAGGAAGGGAGGCTGGGCCAGCTGCCCCCCCCAGCCCACAGTACCCATGTGCCCTGTTCCCCATCCTTCACCCCCACCCCCCCGTGCCTCATCCCTCATTCCGCAGTCCTCATTCCCTGTCCCCATCCCTGGGCCCCTGGTCACCTGCTCTCACGCACTCCCTCTCGCCATTTGAATGGTGTGTTGTTGACCCAGCTCTTAATTTGACTTACAGGAAGATGAAGGACCTGCTCAAGACGCCTGGAGTTCTCACCCAGCTTTAACCCTTGGGTTCTTCATGAAGAAGATAATCCCAGAATAGTCAGGAAGGCCTGACTTGTGGTCATAGCTGTGGTCACCACCAAAGTCAGCCTAGTCAGCTAGGAGGGCCACCTGTCTCAGTCCAGATGAGCCTGGTTGAGGAGGGGAGCAGGTGGGGGTCTGGGGGCAGAGAGAGGGCAGTCTCTGCTGGGTGGGCAGATATGGAGGCTGTTACCCTCACGAGGGGAGGGGAGGGGCTGCATGTGGGGCGGTGTCAGATGCGCTGTCCCTGCTGTGTGGCTGAGCCCCATCTCCATGGGTCGTCCTTCCATCAGCCGAATCCCTCAGGTGGAGAGGCTCCCTGCTCACCCCTCACCCGCACAACACCCAGCAGAGGTGGGTCCAGGAGTGGCCTTCAGTTCATAGCACTTCTCCATAGCATTTAAGAGCAGAGTGTGTACTCATGGGTGCCCATGTAAGTGTGAGCATGTATGTGATTATTTGATCAGTGTCTGACCCCACGGGACTAAAGGCTAGGAATCTGGCCCATGTCTGCCTCTAGAGCTGGACCGTATATACCTGGTGAATAAATGGGTAAAGGTGGGGATTCTTCCCTCTTGTGTGTATATGTGTTAAAATACATACAGCATAAAATTTACCATTTTAACCAGTTCTAAGAGTGCAGTTCAGTGGCACTAAGCACATTCACAGTGCTCTGCAGCTATCGCCACCACCCATCTCCAGAACTTTCTCATCCTCCCAGATGGAAATTCTGTCCCCATGAAACACTAACGCCCAGCTCCTGGTGCCCACCGTCCTACTTCACCTCTGTGGATTGGCTCCTCTCGGGACCTCATATCAGTGGGGGTACAGTATTCGTCTTCCTATGATTGTCTTCAAGAGTCATCTGTGTTGTAGCAAGTGTCAGGATTTCCTTCCTTTCTAGGCTGAGTAATGACTTCACTGTGTGGATACACCACATTTTGCTCACCTGTGGACACTGGTTTGTTTCCCCCTTTTGGGGTTGAATAATGCTGCTGTGGACGTGGATGCACAACTGTCTCTTCAAATCAATGCTTTCAGTTCTTTGTCAGAGGTCCGCTTGTATACCAGAGTGGTGGCTTACACGGTAGTTCTGCTCAGTTTGCGGCAGCTGCAGCAGTTTACATTCCTACCAACAGTGCACAAGGACGCTAATTTCTCCACATCCTCGCAGTAGCCATTATTGTTGGGGAATAGTCACCCTCATGGATGTGAGGTGGGATCTTGTTGTGGTTTTGGCTTGCATTTCCCTGATGACGAGTGATGTGGAGCACCTTTTCGTGTGCTATTGGCCATTCATCTGTCGTCTTTGGAGAAATGTCAATGTCATTAGGCTTTCCCCCCGTGTTTTCTTCTCAGCGTTTTCTATCTCATTTCAGGTCTTGGATCTATTTTGAATTTTTGTGTATGGTGTTAGGTAAGGGTTCAACGTTATTCTCTTTCATGGGCATATCCATTTTTCCCACCACCATTTGCTGGGAAGACTGTCCTTTCCCCACTGAATGGTCTTGGTGCCCTTGTCAAACATCATTAGCCATATATATGAGGGTTAATTTCTGGGCTCTCTGTTCCATTTGTCTGTAGTTCTCTGTTTTATGGTAGAAGAAAATGAAGACCGATAGAGGGCACAAGGTCACATGATAAGTGGTGGTTAGGCTTAATTCGGATGGAGGGCACCCTGGACCTCACCCTGTTCATGCAGGGATGTGGGGGAGCACAGAGGGCACATCTGACCTGTCCAGCCTTCCCACCGGATGACACTCCAGGCCAGCCAGACTGGGCCTCACCTTGTTTAAGAAAGGATCAAACTAGCTGCTCACAATTCAGAGGGTTTTCAGATAGCAAGTTTCCTCTTGAAATTGCCTTCAAACAATACAAAGAACCAGAGAGGGAAACAAAGCTTCAGGGTCTTGTGGCACAGGAGATAATCTGGCCCCACGTTCCAGGGAGAAGCTGCCAGTTCCTGCAGACAGCAGGGTGGTGCAGGAGGGCACGGGCAGGGGGACAAGGGAGGGCTTCCTGTAGGGCAGGCCCCTCCACCGCCGGGCAGGAAGTCAGAGAAACCCACCACCCGAGAGCAGGTCTGTTTAGGGCAGTGCCTCACTCTTGGATGAGGTGCAGCCAAGTTCACCTGACGTTTGTAAAATAGCAACTCAGGAACCAGAGGAAACATCTTAGAACCCAGATGATTTACAGCCCGTGTCTCAGAGATGACGAAAGATACTGCATATGTTTAAAAAAGACCCAATTCTATAAGAATGCAGAATGAGAAATCTGGGAAATTAAAAATAGAATGTCTGGAAGGGAAAAAGCTAAAGAACAGAGAAAACTCTAGGGAAGAAAATTTCAAAAGGGGGGGCATTTTCCAGAACTAAAGGAGGTAGGGCTAGTTTGAAAGGACACTGCAGATGGACAAGGCTATGCTGAGGAGCATCAGCGCCCAGGGAGGAGACCCTCACCTTCCCAGAGGAGACAGGTGCTCCTGAGACTCAGGGAGGGGCTAGCCGTGCAGCAGGGGAGGCTGGCGCACACTCCAGACGTGTGGAGGGAAGGTTGTGTCCACCTCGAATTCTGCCACTAGCTGTACAGGCACACGAAGATTTCAAGACATTTTCCTCCCGCATTCCTTTAGCTAGGAAGCACCTGGAGGGTACGTGCCAGGAAATGAGGAAGAAAACCAAGCGGAAGGGCTGGGATTCAGGACACAGGACTAGCGGGAGGGTGAGTCCAGGGAAGCCGGGATGAACGGGCAGTGGCAGGTCTGGCCGTGTGGCGTGCGACCTCACTTGTGGAACCCTGCGGGAGGCTCATTTTCAGAGCTGCTGAAGGATGTGGAGGACAACAGTAGTTTCAAAGAAAACCAAGCAAATGAGTCATGTTTAGTGGGGGCTGGCTGGGTTGGGGGTGGGGAGAGACTGTAGAAGAAAGGAAATAAATTACAGTAAATACGTCAGGAAATAAACTGTGGTAAATTAGCTCTCTCCCCCCCTTCCTGCCCCCGTCGTGGATCAGCTATGGGGCTGTTAGCCAGGTACCAGGCTGATGAAAGTTCCTGGTCGCTGGCAGAGCCTGGATGGTCTTTGCTGTGTGCTCGTCGCAAGCATGGGCTGCTTGGGAGGTGGGTGACTTAGGCCATCAAAGGCAGTTTCAGGGAAGGAGGGGAAGCTGGACATTGGTTTTCTTCTGCCCCAGTGAGGGAGGCCCTGGGGTGCGGAGGTGGTGTCTTCCCATGAGGGGAAGTGCCAGCTCTTACCCAAAGAGCTCCAGACCTGGGGTGGGGGGACCCAACAGGTGTCCCGCCCACATTCCTGGGTCCCAGGGTCCCCCCACCTTACCTCTGCAAGATGTGTCCCCCTCCCTGGAAATCATACACGTGCTTACTTATTTTATTTAACAACCAAAAGAATTACCAAAAAAAGTACAAAAATACTACATGCTTTCTGCAAATATGTGCAGGAATTGCAGAAATTTTAAACATTAATTGAAGGGGCACCTGGGTGACTCAGTCTGTTAAGTGTCTGCCTTCTGCTCAGGTCATGATCTCAGGATCCTGGGATGGAGCCCCTTGTGGGGCTCCCTCCTCAGCGGGGAGTTTGTTTGTCCCTCCCCCACTGTCCCTCTCTCCCACCCCCACCCCTGCTCACGCTCGCTCGCTCTCTCAAATAAGTAAATAAAATTTAAAAAAATTTTTTTAAAGAAAATTTTTTTAAAGAAATTAAAGTTCATCTATAACCTCAGTTATTCACCCAAACCTTTTCTGTGCATAAAGCACATTACAAAATTTGGATCAAGATGCAACTACTGATTTTAGCTACTTAAAACATACAATATATTGCAACATAGCTGCAAGTTGCTCCATGTAAAAAATACTGTATACCGTGTATTATGTGTACATTGTTCATACTTGAGAGGTACATTATAGTTTTGTTATGAAAATATGTCTTTTGCCCTAAGAAATGGTAGGTGTTTTGTATATATACAATGGAGAAATTTTAAGTGTGCAGGCACATGGAAGACCGATTTTTTTAAACAGCTATCTAATCTCAAGGTGAAGATCTAAATGTGAACAGTTTACTAATGCACTACTGAAGTTTAAATCTGTGGCACAATCATTGTAAACATGGGATTTGTCTGTGTTTCTCTAAATTGATTTGTTTTCTAATCTGTAATTACTGGAAAACTCCTATTCCCATTTTTACCAAACTTAATTTCTAGTTTTTGGTTTATCCATTCAAATTTACAATACCTCTAATTTTAATGCCAACAAAATTGGTTGTAAT